CCCTACCAGATATTGGAATGCCTTTTTAATATCTTTTCTGTGACTGTGACACTTCATGTGAATCACATACTTCACAAGTACACTTGATACCTTGCCTGCTGACAATTGCCCATAATCCCTTTTTGAGTCCACTTTCAGCAAAATCCATGTGTTTAAGTTCTATTTTGTAGCACACAAATAATCAAGTAATTTCTAGTTAGATGCTGTAAACCTGTGCTATTATGAATTTCTCTTCTTCCCTTTTTTATAAGGCTGCTCGCTCCACTGTTTGTGAACTTTTGCAGGGATTGTGTTTCTCTATAACTTAAGTGTTGCCGGTGGCTTAGTTTTGAAAGCAATCAGGGAATCGGAAGCCTTCAAAAATCTATTATTACAAATTATATCTATAAAGAATAGGATCGTTGTCTCTGGCTTACAATATTGATTAAATGTGAATACTCTTTAGTAAAAGATACTGTGCTTCTGAGGTTGGCGTTATAGTGGAGGGAAGAGTGTCAAACACAACCAACGGGGAGTTTTATGAAACACGTGTTTGGCATCCCCGTATAGTTTCTTTTTGTGTGTGTGTTTTATACATATCACAGGCTTACTGGTAATGGTAACATTTGCCTTGCCCAGCGAGCAAGACCCACTCACTTTTGGGAAAGTGGGTCCAAAGAATTTTGTAGGCCTTGTAGGCCTGAATTAAGGCTCATTTTTCATCTACTAAATCTTCATTGTTTGAAAAACAACCACCACCAATTAAAAAAAAAAAAAGTAAGACTAATCAGAATCATGCTACCTAAATCCATTTCAAATATAATCCTTTCCTGTTTTTAAGGAATTGAACTTAACGCCATTGTTATTTTTGGCTGAATTCCACACCTACTTAGCAAAGCATGGGCAAAGATGTTGTGTTCTTTTTTGCAGCACCAATGCAAAGGGTAGTTACAAATTATAGTTTAATATTTCTGGTGTTTAAAAAAAATTTTAAAACTGGACATATTACAAAACTTTATTTTTGTTTTTAGCTAAGCATGCAAAGTCCAGTCCTAGGTATTTCACTGATATCCCGGTATGTACCTCCACCCAGCTTCTGAGGATAACATGCCCACCAAATTGCTAGATTGAAGGTGCCTTGCCTTGATCTCTATATACTGTACTTTCTCCTACATCAGTCTCGAAGAAATGAAAAACATTATAAAATTGAAGCCTTGGATCATATTACCAGAAACAACATTAAACCCTTGAGTTTCTTCCTTGTGAACAATTAAGCCAATGTTATGGGGTGAGGTGGGCTTGGGGGGGGAAGAATTAGAGAATGCCACAGAGGTGCCACTGAAGTTTTTGCATGCTTAGTCACCGGCTTTCAGGAGATTAAAAATATGGGCACTCTCTGTATGCTTAAGATGGAATTTATTTCTCAGAAATGGCAGCAAAGATCAAACTGTATCTCAGTCTGGAAAACTGTGTGGCCTCTTGCTGTTACCTTGATATTTAAAGACAAAAAAGGTGGAAACCATCCATTCCTTTTTTAGCACTGTATTTCTGGCAATTTGTTTTACCACGTCTTTGTGCTGAAGTCCCTAAGAGAGGCTGCTGGTTATTTCAAAGTCCCTGTCTGTTCAGCTGAACAACTGATTCAGTCTGAATGAACTCTTCATACTAGTTTTCAAATGTGTTCTGTTTTTATAAGAAACATTTAGTGCACTCTTCAAGGAGGCTACTGTAAAGCTGCTAAATTCTAGATAAACTTTTTTTTTTCTGTAGGTCAGACTTTCTTTTGTATATGTGCTATGAGAACAGCAAGCTAATGCTTGATGTTGGGTCTTTCTAGGGAGGGAATGAGTTAAGCATGAAGCCCTCTATCCATGTAGGGGAAAAAAACAAACAAAACAAACCTAATCTAAAACTGTGATAAAAATGCAAAGAAACTTTGACTTAGACTGTGCCCTTGTCTGCTGGCACTAAATATGTGTGCATGGGGAAAACACCACTTTATTAAAAACTTTGGTGTACCCTTCTAATCCTATCTGGTCCAGTGGGATTTATGCACCATCCCTGAGAAAACAAAACGAAACAAAACCAAAGCAACTGACATGATGAGCTGGGGGCTTACTCTCCACCTGTAGGATTCATGAGAGGCAGCAGCCATGATGCTGTACTATCAGCTGGGTCCCAGGGATGGCCCCGGGCCTTCCTACAATTATAAGAGGAGCACTTCACAATATTTCGAGTAAGGTAATACAGCTGAAGGCTACATTCTCTCTCACCTGATTCATGAGGAGTGAATACACAAGTTCATGTCTCATCCAGCTGTCTTTTTACTCCCCAGCGTAAGAGCCTGAGGAGAGACAGGGCTGGAAAACTGTCTGAGCAAAGCGAGGAAGTTCTGGTTCATGGCCTGATCCTATATAAGTATTGTTTTGAACACTAATCTTTTGATCCTGAGTAACTATGATCTGTGAACCACTTTGGGAGTCTATAATTAAGGCCAGATTTAATTTCTGCAAGTTGTTAGTGCATACTGGAAATACAGCATTTTTTTAAATTATTGTTTTCTGGTTTTGTTGCTGTGGGCTAAATTCTTATGTATGTTTAATCCAATGAATAGATGTCCTAATTTTTTTTTTATTATTACATTTTGTTTAAACATAAAAAGTTGTCTTTGTGCTTTCTTTCTTCCCTTTTATTTTGTCTTGTCTCATCTGTTGCATGGAAAGAGGATGGCAAGGATGAACTGCATGTTGTAGGTTGTATCTGTCAAAGAACTGTTGGTCAGTACTACTAAATTTACAAACATATATGCAAAGAGTTTGCATTGTACAGTTTGTTTATTCTTATTTGATGTATACACAGATTCAAAATGATGAATAAAGCACTTATATGAAGGCATATATGAAACCAACAAAAAAGTTTATGTAAAAAGTAGACTGTGCAAAACATCATTGCACTGCCCACAGGATGGTGAAACTTCATGTAAATAGGTTGGCAAACTCAATTCTCCCCCTTTACCATGCCAAAGAAAATTTTAGCTCCTTAATATAATACCTCTCTTGCTGTTCTCCAGAATAAGAGTTCACCATTTTCTTCCCTCTAAAATTAATTTTGCTTTTAAGTGAAAGCTGTTTTCAACTGTCTGTTACTACTAAAGTACTGTATAGTAAACCTGATGGAATAAATTTGTATTTATAGACTGGGGGTTTTGTACTTACATGTGCAGCTGCCTGTGAATCTGCAGCCTTCCAGATCTTTTGCATGCTTGCTTTGTATTTTATTCTTCTGGGTTTTCTCTAATCTCTGAGAGACTGTTTGCACAGCAATCTAACCTCATCTTACCATTTTATATGTTAACACTGCATATAGTCATTATCTCTTCCCTTTTTTTTTTTAAATCTGTATTTCAGCTACAGTTCTGTTTGGCAAAATCAATCACATCTGCACAGTTTCAGAAATCCAGTTTTAAGTAGATATGAACTATTTCAACAAAGCACCATTTTGTTGTATTTCAAAAATTTTATAAATACACAAGAATCCTTATGAGATTGCTCACATGATAGAGCCTATAGAAAGGGCTCTAGCTCCTTTTAAGTGCTTTGTGGTTCACATAACACAGCCTTTGCTTAACTTGTTGGGGGTTTTAGCCATTCTCAAATGATTTTTTAATATATTGTCATTTTCATAAACCTTAACTGGTGTAGTCATGTTGATTCTTACCAAACCTCTCCCCTCTCTCCCCACCGTCTCACCCTCGTAAAGTATTCACTTTGACTATGGCATATACCTGACACAACACTAAGAACTCTGGCTTTATATATATATGTAGGGAAACTTTTTGTCTTGATTTAATACTAGTTTAAGCAAAGAGATATGAAATCAGGCAGTTTGGTCCATGCAGTAAAAGTCTGTCTTGCTGATCCTTCTGTTTATTGGCATAAAGAAGAAATTATTCAGCTCCATTCAAATGGGAATGCAAATAAAATTAGACTAAATGTGAAGGTTCTCTTTCTTTTAGATGACCCTTTAGATAAATTCATATTCTGTGCAATGCATTCTAAAATGTTTAATAAGAGGGGTTTTTTTGGTGATGACTAATGCAAATGCTATGACTTATTTTTAAAGATGTAATAAAATTTTTGTTCTGTTACCTAGTCACAGAAATATTCAACTGAGCTTTCTTCATCCCAGTATCATGTAGCTGTATCCTTTAGCTACAAAGTGAGATGTCATTCTGCTAAGAAGCAATGGGCAAAGCGTCAGAAAAGTGAGAGCAGGTACATGATTAAATGTTCATCTGCGTGTTTCTAAAAGAGAGTGTGGCCACTGAAAAAAAGGGTCACAAGCAGGTTAATAATTTATAGAAGCAAATCAATCCACAGCTGTTTTATAGCTGATATTACAGATAAGTTATATACAGTAGGTATTATCCTGCAAGTCCATTATAGAAGCATTCAGTACACTTCTGGATTGTGTTCTTTCTCTCATAAGAAAGCAAGGACATAATATTTTTTCATAAGGTTTACTAATTTAATCAGTACAAAATCCTCATTTATCCAATTTGATTTTGCCTTTTGTCACAGGCCTGGGAGAAAGTTTTTACAGTCACTAGCTGTAAAGAATCCAGCAGTAAGTTTCACTTCCTTATGCCTCTTCCTGCTTTTACAGTTTATGTATCTAGAATTCCCATCATACGGAATGAGGTGTAAAATAACAATTTGATATTACAGCTATTATATTCACATATGTGGAATAATAATCTTATTTCTTCCGATCTCATTTTTTTAGTGAGAAAATCAGCCACAAAACAGATCTGCTGGGTGTTACACCACCAGTTACCTCAACATGAAGAGGGGAAATGTTCAAGCAACGTTATAAGACACAAAATAAAAACTGGAAAAAAATTAATGAGAACATTACATTTTTAATAGTCTTATTTAATACTTTATGGTTTATAGTAATAGCACCATTTTGTTTGATAATTGCATTTTAATGAAACACAGAGAGTAACCGTTGTAGATATCCTATTTTTTTTCCATACGCAATATAAAAAACAACTTGGATAACAGAAATACTGTGGCTGTGTAATCTGTCCAGTAGTCAAAATGTTGGAGTTGATTGTTTTTTTCAAAAAAACCCAAACAAACTAGAAATAAGAGTTAACTTACATTCTTTAAGTATATAAATTTAAAATTAAAGCAAATTACAAAGTAAAATGCATCAAATACGATACTGCAACCAGCTAAAGAATTGTTCTTTTATATATGAATGAGTACCTGAAATACCACAGCTGGTCTACAGTATATATAAATCTGCTAATGATGGCATGAACAAGCCAAAAGCATCTACTGACACCAGATAAGAGTTTTGATTATCTGATATTTTCTTATTACTGTTCTAAATACAGATGGAAGAAAATAAAGGAAAACTTTGTATCCTTCACTGTTTCCACTCTGATTCAGCAGATGAATGTATATGCAAAAACACCACTGATTATAAGGTGATTCAGGTCAGCTGTATTCGTAAATATAAATAAAAGCAACAATCTGTGCTCTCCAGACACCAGGGTTGGCAAAATGCATATATGCTAAAACTTAAGAAAATATTTCTGTTTGGTTCCATGGAGTTTAAGGGTTACAAGTATAAAATATAAACTAAAATTTCAAGATGATTTTATTTTGAAGATGCTTTATACTGTATCAATATCTTTTAGAACTCTGTCTGATATTTTGGTTATCTAACAAGAGAGCAGGGAACAGCTTTAGGATGTATGTCTCATTACTATCTGCAGAACATATATAAATTGGATGTTTGGTGATTATGCTCCCTGAGAACATGGGTTTCACAGGCTTCATTTTTAGAAAGAAATAATACAGGCTAACTAAAAAAAACTGGGTGAGAGAACAAGCAACATGGGAAGGGGTAATAATAAGGCAATTAAATAAATTTGAAATTTTGCATTCTGTTACATGTTCTGTAGCATTGTATTTTCCTATTTCAAAACCATCCTTTCTAAAAGAAAACTAATTTTTAGATAAATAATGGAAATACAGTATTTGGTTGATACATAGTTCCATTATTTCTGAATCATGTACCTCTTCTTAGGACCTTGGCACCTAAGTGCCAGTGTTACAGTTTGGTATCTAAAAGAAGTATTTTTCAGCCATTTAATCAATTTTCTCACTCAGTCATGATTTCACAAAGTGTAAACACTTTTGAAACTAAAATGTGTATTTCTTCTTTTTGTTCTAAAGAATTCAAGGGCTGCCAAATCTATGTGTACAAAAAATTAAGAGACTCATATGTAAATAAGTTAGGGAAGTCCCAATAGTTGTACATCATTCATTACTCAATGTGAATTTCACACTGAGCAGCATTTCACCATTGGAAAATAAAAATAAAATTTTTGTTCATACCACTGCTTTGTTTGTATTTACTGTATTAAAACTTTAATTACTTTGTTGACATTGTCCAAATGTCTTTGGCTGAGACCAAGCTGCTGCATAGCATAGATGATTTTTCAAGTCAGTTGACCTTCAGGTTTCCCACTTCCATAAAAGCAGTTAAATTCAATGAATACCATGTGTGACAGTGTAATTTGTTCTAAACATTGATTTTGAATAGTAGACAGAATTTTCATCCTGAAAATGACATATTTTCATTTTCAATATAACAAATTTTCATTTACTTTACTTTTAAGAGGCAACTGTACTACACAGAACAGTATGATAGAAGTACATATGAGTTGCAGAATACATATTCAGAATAGGCAATCATACATTTATATCTTTATTAGTTTCCTTCCTTATGTTCCCATAGGTTATGTACTTGAAAGTATTGTAGTATGTAGATTAGATAACCAACTTACTGACACATTAACCACAGAAACTAAGTTTTTTTTGTGGAAAAGGGTCTGTTCAAACATTTTGGGTCTTCAGTTTATGGGTGTCTTGTAATTGGATCTCAGATAATTATTTTACCAAACAAAAAATCATTAATGTTTTTATAGGCTTTTTTACAGCTTCTTTCAATTTATGAGCTGGTGCATAATCAGGATTGTCAGAAAGAAAAAAAGGTCAAATAATGTATTTTTCCAACACCATAAAATTAATCAAAGTAGTTATTTGACAAATATTCAGCTAGTGTTACTCCTCTACAGGGGTATTGTTAAGATTGATAAGGAGAGGTGATGACCAAGTAAATAATGTTAAAAAAGGCTTTCTTATGCTTTTTCCAAAGGTTGCTTAAAGAAACAAGCATTATAGATATAATCTCAGTTCCACTGAATTTACAGAAAAAACTCTGGAGGAATTCCACAGGGCCGGTATTTTATGACTTCACCCTCTAGAACTGGGGTTGTCCTGCTCCCTTTTTTAGTTTTTTTGATGCATTTCTTTAAGGAGCAGGTCCTCAAACGTGTTCTAAGGTACTTCAAACCATGTATGTGTGCTTACATGCACACCCACACCCACACACTGAGCACTTCTGAAATTAAATGTTCTAGCAGCCTAAAGAAAAACAAACAAAATAACCTCCTCAGTCTTTAACACCCTGCATTAAGGGTATTCTCTCCCCAGCCAGATTTCACAAGCATTTCCATTCCATCCTTCCCAGCACTCACAGTTTCCACAGCTACAAACACCGTTGCCTAGAATAGAATGAATAAAAGGCAATTATCATAATTGAAATGTACTACATTAAAATGTGTTTTATTGGAAGTAAAAAGCCATGGTAAAGTAGTTGCATTGTTCCTTTATTGTTCCCCTATCCCTTTTTTTTTTCCCCTTTGGAAGGAAGCAATTATTGTACCATTGCATTAAGAAATCACCCCAAACCTACATTTTCAAAAGCATTAATAGCATTCTCTCAATAATTCCATCAGCCATATTGCAAATATTGTAATTGTGTATTGTGTAGTGCAATTGTACACATCAGTATCTGTACCCAGCTGGTGAGGTTCAGTGTTTGCACTGTGCCTCAAGGTACAAGGTAAAACAAGATTACTTTTAACTACTACAAAGAAAGAAAAAGTCATTAAAAGTTACCAACAGAATAGCAATAAAACCATCACTCTAAACATGAAAAACTTTACATGTACCTTTTCAGGAGTGCTATACAAATAAATCATATCTCAAACTCTCTATTAAGTGAAAAATGTGTTGACCCTATTTTACAGTAGGGAAACATTACATACTGACACCTCTATTTTCATTTTATTTAAATATTTTTTTATGACTCAAATGCTCAACTTAAGACAGCTACAGCATGAGTTTCCAATGTGAACTCCTCTTCCTACCAGTTTTATGAAGATCCATGAACAGCCATTACAGCTGAAGATAAGACTTCTGCTGCTGCTACACTGGCTACTTGCCTCCAGAAAAGGACACTTTCTAATAGAGCTAGCTGGAAGACACAATTTACTAGTGTCAGCCCTCCTACTCTCACTCTAATCAACTTGCAGATTTCTTCCACGTCTAATAATTGCTGGCAAAATTTTTCTAAAATTAAGATTTGTAACAGGAAGAAACCAATGAGTTAATTTAGCAATTCCCATGCTGCTTCTTGTCACTGTGTTTATCGTGAGGGCTTGTTGGCACCCTGCTCGTTTCTATCCACATCTGCCACCTCAACTTTCAGACAATGTTAAAATGAAGCTGCTATAATCATTAATTTAATAATCAGTCATCACATCATAAGAAAAGCTATTGTGCATTTCAGGCTCCCACCAACAATTGCCTGATTGCCAGGAAGGTCTGTTAACCCACACAACTACGCCTCTGAGCCACCAAGGATCATCAGACAAGTGAATTTTGTCTGTGACTTAAATTTACACACATAGAATGTCCAGTAGAAGAACAAAGGCTAAGGAAACCTCATGATCGTAATGCTGACACTATGTCCTTTGTCAAAAAAGCAGTAGCTGGTAGTCTATTACAATGAGAATTGTTGATGGATGTAATAGCTGACTTACTTATTTAAATTCATGCTCAGGCTTTCAACTGTTGTTTTGAAACCTTAAGTTGATTATCACACTGCATGAAGAAACAATTATAGCAGATTTGAATAACCAGCAAATGCACTTCCTCTGTCAGTGGGGAAAGAAGTAGCTAGGCTTTGTCTAACATAATTCCCATCAACACAGTTTGTTTCCTGAAGCAATTAAGTGTTAGCCTGTACTGCACCTGTGCAAATGAGACCGTCATGTTTGTCACAGTCTCTGTCATCGCATTCACAGAAATCGCCTGAAATGTACCATTCCTGGGGAGAACAGATGCACTTTCCACAGTGGCAGGAACCTGAAATCACAAAAATTATTACTCGCAGTCAAAGAGCACTGTCAGTTTCAGACTAGAAAACAACAACCCACGACACACACGTGCACACATATGCACGTGTGCATATGCACAAAATTACTGCCTAAGAGGTTATTACATAAGAGAAAATAATCAAGCTAAAAGTCTTTTGAATGAAAGGATTCTTTTGGCATGAGCTTGAGTATGGTGGAATGTTACTACTAACGCTTTGATCCTGCTATTTCACTTAATCAAGGTTCACATTCTTAGGCTTTCTTTTGGTTTCAGAGACCTACAATCAGGGCTTCTCTTCCCAGTAATGTTCTTTTTTTTTTACTAGAAAAGCTCAAATTGTCCCCAACCCACTGTTACTGAAGGCAATAAAATCACACCCAGGAAGGAAATAGTCCTCCTCATCTAAATTTAGGGCTGGGTCCACAAAAGACCGGCAATGCACAAGACTAACATTTAGACCCCCAAAATCCTCATCACCACAAACAAAGTTTCTCCACCTCCCATGGAATTACTAATTAATTATTTGCTCTCGGTCAGAAAGAGTTTGAGCACATAATGGCAGTTCAGCACTTGGCTTATTCCTGCAGCGTACACTAGTGCCCTTTGTTGGGACAAGCTGCTCTCCTTCTTCTCCGGGATGTCAGGTCACAGCCCCACAGGGAAAGGAGAGACTCTATGGTGATGTTCAGGTGATGCCATAACCCACAGAGCACCAGAAACCTCCCTTCAAGGGAAGGCTCGGAGACATTCTTACCTTCAGAAGAAGGTTCATGTCTCTGAATCCTGGAAAGTGACAATTGCCCTCAGACAATCACGTGTCAGGAAGACTGTAGTCTGAGAATGGGGTGAGACAGGCTTTTCTGCAACTAGAAATGCCACTAGGAGATGGTAATTCCTTATGGATGATTCCAAAACTTGGTTGAAAAGACTCAACTTTTCAGATCCCATCTTCAGCAGCTTGACCCTATACAGATTTCAGTACAACACCTACAACGCTAAGGTGGGGCTCTCAGTAACTGCTGAGCAAAAATCCTTTTGTGAACCCAGCCCTAAGAAAGGGTTACATTAGAAAGCATTATTAAAAAAATCAACCCCCCAAATAAATTATAGCAAAGGATACACACATAAATTTTCAATTATCAGAGGCAGAGTTAAAAAAAAATCATCAAATAAGTTGTTGACATTTAGCAGAACATACTTATAAATTAGTTAAATGCAGTTGAAAATCCTAGCTTCCTGCAATATTTCCAGAATGATTCCAGTAAAAGTCACCAATGTGCTTAATGCAATATTAAGGAAAAAATATATAGAAGGAAGCTTGGTTATGTCAGAATATAACCTAAATAGAATTCATGGGTTACTTAACAGGGCCTTAGCCAAAGCCTATAAAATTATGCTTTTCCATCTTTCCAGTTCTTTTAGACCTCTGAAAAAAATCCATAATAATGATCCTATTATGGATCCTTGATATCAAGGAATTTTCCATAGGTTTTTCCTGTAAATACAGAAGTACCTCTGATCACTGAAACTTAATTTTTGAAAACTTCATAACAGCCTCAGCAGAGTATTTAATTTTTAATTAAATATGTAAGTAATTTAATGTTTATTTTAAATTCACAAAAATTAACTCATTGCCTAATTTTAGGGAAATGTTTTAACTCGTAACATATGGAACATGCAAATATATTCAGGAAGAGCTAATGATTGGAACATTTGGGGATGGGAGTATTTGATTAAGCATCTACTTTTTCTGTGACTTCTGAGTATTCCTTACTGAGCCACCAGCACAGAAAATATTGACATACCCTACAAGGATAAAAAATGCCACTGTATAAAGAGGCAGTGGAGAATAGCATATATATTGCATGGTTGCTGTATAAGAGGTACACTAAGACTTACTTGAGGATAATTTAAACCAAATCTCTCTGCTCGTACAAATTGCAAGGTACAGACAACAGAAAATAATGAGGAATAGTATGATAATTTTAGTGAAATTAAAGCAGTTGATAAGAGTATTACACCGTAAAAAACTTGAAGTAATTCTTCAAAAACAGCACTGATGCTGCTACTGAGGAATGCCCACAGTGTTTAAAACTATTTTGCAGAAGATACAGCAAATTTAACACCAAGTCAACCAAGGAAGATCAGGCTCCATAATACAAAATCTGTCAGGGAAATGAATCAAGCATTTTCCCTGAATAGAGCATGATGCTCTGGGAGGCCCCTTAGTTTAATTAAAATGAGTCTAATGAGTTGTAGGGTGTTTCCTGGGATCCCAGCCAGATCCTCTCGGATGGGATTTGGCTCATTACCTTGCCTACATCCTGCACTGTTACAGTCGCCATATGCAGCCCTATATTTAATGCCAGGGAGACAGCAGTGGTGGGTGTTGCTGTTTTCCTTTGGAAGAGCTCTTACTACAGGTGGCACAGTCAGAGAGCCAAGATTCTAAAAACAGACTAGGAATGTGGATGCCCAACTTTGCTTATATTAGCAGAGTGCAATTTTCTGGTGTTGTTCAGCAGTTATCTGCTGAAAACTAGGATTCCTCATAGTCCTACAAAAGAAACTCAAGCTCCTCTCAGTCCGTTATAACACTTGCTCATCCTGGCTAGGTTTCCAGCAAAATTCACCTTTATCTGACAAGAAATCATTATTTTTTTCTCATTGTAATAAATCAGAAAGAACAATTTACCATTAGGGTAATGCTTCACTAGCTATGAACAGCGTTTTAAAGTATGAGTATCCAATAAGACATGATTTCCAGATACATATCTCAACATCAAAAGTATATTTAACAAAAAAAAAAGAAAAAAAAAGGAAAAAAGGTTATAAATAATTACACTGTCTTTGCCTGTGATCCCCATCCTGCTCAGAGAAGAGGCAGGAGATAGTAACCTGCTTGGATGTTTACTGACCACACAGAAATGAAGTTATCTTATGCAGATATTTCTCTGCTGCAACAAACACATGTGACCAGCTGTTTCTACAATAAAGCTCTTATAGCACCTAATTTGACACTGCTTTATTATATTGACTGTCCTCAGGGTAACCTTCCATCACACTGAAAGCTTACATGTGCTTGGGGTCCGAAGAAACTTAACAAAAAAAAAATCCTACCACTCCTGCTGAATATGGATTTAAGGTCACAGAATGGGTAAGGTTGGAAGGGACAATTGTGGGGGCATCTAATTCAACCTCCCTGATGAAACAGTTAATAAGAGTATTACACTGCCTCTCTAGAGCACATTGAGCAGTATTGCATCCTGATGGTTCTTGAGTATCTCCAGTGAGAAAGACTCCACAACCTCTCTGGGCAACCTGTTTCAGTGCTTGGTCATCCGCACAGTTCTTCCTCATGTTAAGGAACTTCCTGTGCATCAGTTTCTGCCCCTTGCCTCTTGTTTTACTGCTTGGAACCACTGAGAAGAGTCTGGTTCCATGTGTCAGGTTTGTGATTCTCAGAGGAAGTAAATGCTGTTCAACCAGAGAGTTACTATTCTAGAAAATCTGAGCCTTTGGAACCTCCATTCAAGCAGTCGTGTGTAAAAGCACTACCTGACTGCTGCTGGTTACAACCTAGAGCAACTTTCAGGTTGCTCCAGATTACATCGGTGACCAGATCCCAAACCACCCCCTGGGCACTATAGCCAGTAGACAGAAAAATAATCCTGGGTGTCTCTGCAAATTTCTGCCAGATTATCTACTCCCAAAGCCTCAGAGTAAATTGTATCCTTGATATATGGTCTCAAAGCTAATTGTTCTCAGAGTAAGACCCACTGGCTAGTGGGCTCTCAGCCATCCTTATAAAAAGGTAGAAGATAATACAAATATTTTAAAAATCAACATAATTTTTCATGTTTATATTTATTTAGAATCTCACATAGTGCATTTTATTTTTACTAAGAATATTCCCTCACCTTCATGTTTTATATAAAGCACCACAGGGAGACCAAGACTAAGAGAAGAAAAGTTAGCTTCTACAGTAAAATAGAGTCATTCATTTTCTCCAACAACTCACCATTCTCTTACACATACACTAATTTAAACACAGACACATCTGGAAAAAATAAAGAAACAACGCAACTTCCTCATTTTCTATGACATTGCATCAATTGGGGACAGAAAAAAACCAAAATAAAATGAAACAGTTCTGCAGGAGAGAATTCCAAGTGATAATACAGATGGATGAAGGCCAGGCTGGAAACCCTATTTAAATTTCCTCTGCACTGAAATAAAAGTTACCAAAGGGAAAACTGGAAACCTGCCTGATGTAGAAAGCTCCTAACTTTTTTCCAGCTGGTCCTCTGTCTATGCAAGGGACATAAAAATAGAGGAAATGGCACATAAAATCTGGAGTGAGTGCATTCTAGCCTCCAGTCAGTCCCACCACCCATTTTTTGTCTATTCTCTTTCAGATATATTATATACAAAAATAGGCAATTTGCACTATGGGGGAGCTAAAAAGCCCTCTTTCCATTAATGCAATTTCCTAGCCTGAAAGACTGCAAGGTAGGAACCTCAGAGAACAATTTCAGATAATTATCAGGATTTTCTAACTTTTATTCTTCCCTGTGGCATTTTTTTATAGCTGAACTGAAGCTGATGCAACCACCTGAATGAAAATTAGTAAATGAGAAAGTTTTTCAGGATTCATTTGTGGGGGCTGCAGACACATACTTTGCTGTTGTGTTGGGGAGCAGAGTGATTAGGTATACCAAATGTTGCTGTTAAACACTCTCTTCCACTTACTCTTGCCCAGTATATTACATCTGTCATCTTCCCCACTGCAGTGTTTCTGCAGGTAGTGCCCCTTTCCCTCAAACTGGATGGAGCACGAACAGTTAGTTTATAGTGTACAGCTATTCCATGAAGACCATCAGCTAAACAGATACAGAAAATTATATGCTACTAGCAAAATTGCATAGGGGAGCAACATTGCTGAGCATGTACGGCCGTGGTGGGTGTTTGACAAAATGGATATAAGTACATTATGGAGCCAAATATAACATCCTTTTAATAATGGGTACCTTTGAAAAGAAAGGGTTATTAAACAACAACCCACTTCCATGCACATTAATCTTCCAGAATATGATAGTTTTCCTCTGGCACTGCACACATGAAGTAGCTCAGCTGCCAGTTCTTACCCTTCCCCGAACATAATATGCCATCCGCTGACTCGCAGAGACTTCTGCTCTCCTGCTCCGTCATGTTGCACTTCCTTGAGTGCTGGCACAAGTTTCCAAACCACCCATCCTGGCAAATGCATCGGCCGCAGGAGCAGATGCCATGGCCTGCAATGACACCAAGGTTGGTTATGAACAAGGTTGGTTATGACCAAGACAAGCAGAAACCAGTGACTGCGGTCACAACTGAGATCACCTTCAGACCTGTGCAGTGTGGAGTGTGTGTAAGGGGACAGACAGATGGATGGATGGACAGCACTGCTTCCCGGTAGGGTGGTCTTCTTCAGCTTTCATTCTTATGTTAAACAGGGTGCCCTAGTGATGTGCAGAAAACAAGTGAGGGAAAGGTCAAAGAAACTCTAGAACATAGGTCAAAGATAGACCCTAGAAGTTATAATTTATGCTTTAAAGACAGGGAAAAAAAGATAAAATAAAATTTTTTGAGAGTTGTTTGTAAAAAAATTAAGAAAAAAGGAAAATATTTTTAAGAATAAAATGAGTAGAAAATCTGACCAGGAAAAAGGGAAAAGTGACAACAAATGTAGACAAAAATATAGGAATGGAGAATGAAAAAGAGAAGCAAAAAATGTCTCTCGGCCAGAATTTCATTTTTCAGCTTTGAATTATATTTCTGCAGCAGAGACAAAATTATACATACCAGTGACTTTTTTCCTACCCTACCCGCTATGTAGGGCGAGGGAGCAGAAATGAAAAGCCTGAGATAATTTGTGAGCATGGGCTGGGAAGAAGCAGTAGGAGTATCTGGCAAAGCATGGAGCTGCAGGATGTGGGGAAGCAAACCAGCAATTTTGTTTTTCTGATTTGTGGACTTCTCATGAGCCAGCAGCACAACCTAATATTGTAAACTGGAAGGCAACACTGGTAGAAGTCCAGAGGAGAGACAAACCTTACAGTTTGCTCTAAGTGGAGTTCCTTCAAAGTTTACCGATGGTCAAATACTTTAAATTAGAAAATACTTTAAATTAGAAAAATACAGGGAGATCCAAAGTCTTTTAGCTGTCATTTACAGCATCTAAATGTTCAAAATAATTTTTGTATCCCAGACTCTGTATTGGTGTTTGGGGTTTTTTTAACATACCATCTATACAACTTTAAATGATTTGTAACAATGACAGTGTTACTATGACAGTATTGCTACCCACTTCTGAAAATTGATAACTAGCAACCACAGAAGCTTGATGCCACTTTTGAAGCTTGATCCTAGTTTTAGAAAGGGAAACAAGGTCAACTATATGACAAATCAAAATACGAGAGATAGAAAACAAGCATATACTGATATGCTCCTTCCAGATTGATGTCATGCAACTGTAACTTAATGTAATTAAGCTTCTGTCAGAGCATTTTTATGTCTTATTTATTTTTAATTAGTGACATACGGATTAGAATTGAGAATAGCTCTACCAGTTAAGAGCAAAATATACAACTGGATGTCACTGTTGGAAAATTATTAGTGAAGATACAGACACTTTACTCATTTTAGCAGTGAATACTACAAAATCTATGGTGATTTCACTGAGAAAATAATTTTGTTGGATTTTTCTTGTATAGTCATTATGTGTTCTTGAATGCAGAGACTGATCATGTCTGTAAAGCCCTTACATAAGTCAAATAAAAAGGTAATGAATAATCTATAAATTTTCCGCAGTTTACAGTTTACCATATAAAATTCGACTTGCATTTTTCTGCAATGACCATTCCTCTCCTCCTTTATGCCATATAAATCCTCAAACCATGAAGAATGCTTTCATCTCAAGTAATCCATTTTACAAAAATAATATGTATTCCTAGCTGACACTAACTTGGGCAGCTGCAGCTCTTTGGGTGCCTTGGGATATTGAGTATATGTGCTTTGCCCAGTGCTTGTTAACTCCTTGCTATCTCATGTATATGTGGTAGCCTGAGAAAAACTGTTTTACGTGATTTTGTTCTGTATATCTTCCTTGCAAATCACAGAGCAAAGACAGTGTGAATAGTTAAATCAGTATTTTATCATGTTAAACAATTAATTTTGGGCTGGATTTCTCACTTAGAGATTTTTCTTTACCCCAACTGTTCAGATTGAGAAGATTTACTGGAAAGCGTTGGTCTATCATAATTTCAGATTTAACGAAAAACCATTAAAATCATAAAAAAATTGCATTGCAATGTAATGGCTCTGAGACTACAGATCTCCATTAATAAAAATCTATGTTAATGAACTTCTAAATATTTAACAAAGTTTAAACATTAATGTCCAATCAAGAATAAAGACTTTGATAGGGGAGAGGCAAAGGACAGAAAAAGATGATGCTAAAAATACTGTCATTTTGTTTAGAATTAAAACTCCAATAACCACAAGACTTAAATGTAAAATATGAATGCAGCAACAAAGCAAGCTGCGACAGCTACTGGCAGGGGTCCATTAAAACCCAAGTTATCCCGAACTGAACAGGACTCTGGGATTAATTATTTCTTAACATGATTAGAAACAAAATTGTGTTGTTGTGGGAAGTCAGTTTAGGACTACTAATACAGCTGTTGTTGGAGTTCCTGAAAAACCTGCTTGATCATTTTGTAATACAAAAGGCACAACCACATGGGAACATCAGCATGACGAAAAAGGTGAAGTAATCATCACAGAGGAAGCTGGTTCTTATTTCTAGACTGTTTATAATCAGATGATGTTCCTGAAGGGTAAACTAAGGCCATCCCCAAGCAAAATTTGGCACCTCAGGCTAGGAGTATGAAAAATTGCAGCACAATGCAGGATCCCTTATATAGAACACTTCAGTAAATTAAACAAATATTTCTCTCTGTATTTAAATGGAAACAGGATTTCCTTTTTTTTTTTTTTTAATTGCAGGACTTTCCATTATATTATTAATAGAAGAGAATACTAAACATTTGTCTGGGAGAAATATTTCTAAGTAAACAGGCTTCATTACCCTGCCAAAATATGCTAAACAGGTTGAGAAAAACATTACTGTAACACTGATTTTTACTTTTTAGTTTTTATTGAATACAAGGAGAATGTCATAACAATTGTGAAAACTGTAGTTAGAGAAGCCTAATATAAATGTGAAGCAAAATACTGATTGTCTATTATATTTTCAAAGGAGACAGGTTAGTATTGTCTGTCTAATAAAGGTGGACTGTACCTCCAGTTTCAGCAGCATAACAGTCATATAGTTCAGTAACACCTTCAAGTGAAACCTGCAGTGAAAAGGGCTGATGCCATCCTCATATGCATATAGCAGTAGAACAGTGACTAGGAGTAGAATTAGAGCATTGATGAGATGAATATTAAAGTCCTGCAACTCTGTGACATCGATGTTTGAAGAGATTTTCCAAAACTTAGAAGAGTACTAAAAAGATGTAAAGAATTCAAAGGCTACCAGAATGGGGATTCTCAAACTACCAGAGAAAGACAAAACAAGGGATAAAAGCTCATACTGATAAAACCACTTAAGAAATGAACCAGCATTTCAAAAAAGGGTGATGACGATCGGAACAAACTTTAAAGTGATGTTGGCATGGACTGTACAGGAGCCTTCAGAGCATGGCCTGCTCAGAGACAGGCTTTTGCTGCACACACTACACAGACTTCAACATAGGGGAAGCATGGGTGTAGTGTAATGGCTATTTATAGACTAATATACAAGGTTCAGCAAAAAAACCCCTTTGAGATTTACAAATTAATATCTACTAATCACCTTAAATGTTGGTGCATTAGTAATTCCTTTACAGCTCATTTAAACAGAAAGATTAAATTAAAATGCTTTTATAAACCTAAATCACATTTTATGCTATCTAAAAAGCTAATGAAAATATAGTCTCTGTGTACCTACACAAAGTCTTGACTTTTCATACACCTACACAAATGTCTGGGTAACCAGGACAGAAATCTGTAGGGTATTTAAAAGAAAAAATTATAAAAATTAAAATTAGTTAAGTAAAACTATAATAATTTAATACAGACTATACAATATCATTAATACCTATACTGGCTACAATAGGTAGTCTCACATCTAATACATACTGATCCTTTTGAATTTATCTGTTGCTGCCCCTGGATGTGCCTCAGAGCTGGGATGAAGCAGTTAAGCACAAGGACACAGGCATTGAATCATTAATTCTCTACTTAATGTTGTCAAAATAAAACCCTAAAGCGCACTAGTTTTATGCCAGTTAGACTCTGACTTCTCCGTTACCTAACACAGTCATTTGCACTTTTGTTAGATCTAATTTCACTCAGTAAACACATGTTGGTTTCTTTTTTTGTTTTGTTTGTTTGTTTGTTTGTTTGTTTTTTCCTCTGGAGAATAAACTGCATTTCTCAATAACAAATACCGTAATAGAATTTCTCTATTTAATAGTATAAAAAATGTCTAGTGAATTCTGTGATAAGTGTTCTGTGACAATGTTGTTCAGATTTCTCAGTCAAAAGGATATGGACCCTGCTCCAAAGACTTTTCAATAGAACAGGTGAAAAACCTGTCAGTAGGAAATAAACTCTTATTTTAACATAGAAGGGACCACAGACAAATTACAGGTTCAATTCAGATGCCTGGTGCCATTGGACATACCCTAAGGCACAAAGGACATCCTCATGATGGCACCAGCTATGCAGGAACACCTGTGTCCTTGTGGAGCCAAGCTGGGGTCAGGCAAGGGAAGCCTTGGGTATCAGAAGCGATAAAAGGTGCTTTACTTTAGGTGCCTGCAGACTTTGCAATTATGTCCCACATGGTCTGTGAAACCATGGCAGACTCAGGAGTTGAATTTATATTTCTGAATTTTCATACCAATCACTGCCAAAACCTATCTTTGGGAGAGAGACAGGTATAGTTTTTTCTCTCCTAATATGGTTTTTAGGTATGTGAGAGAATTCCATAAATGTCCTATATACTTCTATTTCTGTGGAGCACTATTAGTGTAAGAAACAAGGAAATTGTCTGACAGCAACTGTACCATAATATTAGCTTTGCTTAATGAAGTATATAATTAATCATAACTCTCATTTTTATGGTTATAGTTTTATTGGTCCTCATAAGAACATGCTAGCTGAAAATATCATGCTTCTGCTTCACTGAACACATGACAAAAAT